TGTTAATGATGCAGCAGAGTTCAAGCCCTGACTCCAGGTTTTGTATAAATCAGCCTGGAAAATATAACAAGAAGTTTTCTCAACTGCTCAAATCCACCAAGAGAAGTTTTCTCTACAGGCCACTGCTAATCTGCAGCCTGTGTGATGATTACTGGGAAAGAACCTTTCCTTGAACATCAGTTCAAAGAACAACTTCAAGAGGTGTGGGAAAAGCATTATTAGTATAGCCAGCACCTAATACTGATAAAGCATCTTCTCTCAGCTCATGACATGCCAGACCAGGAGACAACTCTGCACTGGATAGTGCTTAAGCAGCCATTGAAAACAGCAGGACCCTGCTATTGTGGTTGGTCAACAGTCCCTTATGGCAGACCTTCCAAGCCAGAGCTACATGAAGATGTACCACTGCTTTCTCCCCAGCCTTGCACAGGATACTATTTTATATGCTTCCCTGTGCATGGTTCTCTTTTTGCTAACATTGGTGCACACTAGTCCAACAATGCTAAGAAGATGACTGTCCTATATAATAACTGGCATGGAGTTATGGGATAAAACTCTACATTTGAATTATAATACTAAATTAATACTGCATAACCAGTAAACCCTGTGACAGCCACATTTACCCAGATCACATGGAAGCCTCATGTATGGATTACTGCTGTTGAAAGCTACTGCTCAGTAGTGAGGACACTATGGAGAGGAGAAGCCAGACTGTAGAAAGCAGGTCCTCAGCTGCTGAAAACCAAAAATCTCCATTGAGTTTACAAAAGGTAGTTCTGAGATTTTGCTGGGGGTGTGGGGGGGGGAGGGGAGATAATTTGAGGAGGGCATATGCAGTTCACGGCGCACTGTTTCTGTGCCCCCACAGCTGGCAAGGGCAAGTGATTCCTCATGGCAGTGCTGTGTCTTACAAATTTGTTTTTCCTTTTGCTTGGCATACCCCTGTGCTGTTAATTCCAGGTAAAGAGCTGGTGGCAACAGTTGAAAATGACCCACTAAATATATTTTAACTTTTTACTATCCACATATACTTTGCGTTCTCCACTCTGCCCCATGATGCTCTGCATGATTTGAACTTATCACTGGCCAACCAACTTAGTATTTTCAACCTAGGATCCTGCTCAGCTCTCCTACTGCCTGCCACCACCAGACATGGGTAACCCTCAGCAGCAGATGGCAGTGGGAAACAGAGGAGAAGAAGGGTAGGGCTGGGAAGCAGACTGAAAGGTGGAGGGGAAATGTGAAAATTGCAACAAGCTGCCTGAAAAATCTCATTGTGATAATTTTTGTTAAGTATTCACACATGCACACATGCACATGCACAACAGTATTTCACAGTGTCAATGTTAGCAAGTGCCTTTTCTCCTTGTTACATGTTCTCCCTGTGAAGTTGAATTTTGCCATTAGACTGTCATGTCATAGCAGTACACGTGACACCCATGAAATAAATGTTAAAGTCACTTCACTGACTCTGTCTTCCACTGGAGCATGCTCCAGAGGCATTTACAACCAAAGTACTTTACAGGAACATGGTTCCTTGTGCTCCCATGAGAGCTTGAAGGATGCATAAAATTGCAGTGTTTTATGGATCATTTCTATTTTAGGTGCAGTTCTCCATTAGTCCTACACAGCCAAATACAGACAGATGTCACAGCGATGCCTGGTATAAACAGATGGGAATGTGTTACTTTTAGTACCAACACCATGTGATTTTTGGTCAGAAGAGACAAATGTGTTTTCTCTGTCCTGTAGACAGATGCCATGGCTTTGGTAAGTTGTGGCACTGAGCCTGGTATGGTCCCATCCTTCACAGTGGGTTGGGTCTGGTAGGTAGATGCGTATAATGCTAGCCAGTGAGGTGATTCAGTGCATTAAGACAAAATGTCTCCAAATGAAGAAGACCTGAAGTGCCCTTCCGAGCCCTGTCTAATAATGACTGGCTCTGAAGGGATGCTGCCTGGCCATTGCTCCTCCTTAGTGTCTGCAGGAATGTAAGAGATGGCAGAGAACAGTCAAGAATTGTCTGGGAAGGACAACTGAAGAGCATCATGTCCTCCTTCCACATGGCTGCCCCACAGGAATCTGCTGGTGAGTTTTCTCGACAGACAGCTCCCCTTGCGAAGCTCTCTTGTACATAAAGTAGCTGGTTGGCTGTGGCTAGACAAATCGGCACAGAACCATGCTTCCCTCACCCTGGACTGCCACCAGCTTCAGACATGCCTTTGGGAAAGACTGACAACTGTTCCTTGATAAAATACAGCAGCTACAATGTGAGACAGAGACTCACCATGTGAGCACTTCTCATTGCTGCTCTGCACTTCTACAGGACAGGGTGCATGGAGAAGCTTCTTGTTTCTCTGTGTGCCCTCTGCAAGCACTTCATGTGGTTTAGTTGACACCATCGATTTTTGCATGCTGCTTTTTCAAAGTTGAGTCTATTTCCTGACCAGGAGCAGTGCTTTTTAAATGCAAAGGCATTAAAAGCACCACTTTGCTAGATACACAGGCTAACACAGGCTGGATGTAGGACAGATGGCTGATTATGTCGAGGCACCACGAGCATACAACATGCCTATAGTCCACTCACCCCTCACTCTACATCGTATTCTGCCATCTGAAAGAGATGTAGGGCAATGGCATTGCTGTCAGCGGGGATGCACTGTGGACACTGAGTGCAGAATATGTCCCTGTGTACCCAGCACACACCTGCTACTGATGTTCACATGACTACAGATGCACTTTCAGATGCAAGAACAGGGAAGCACTGTATACAAATGAAAATACAGTACTGCACTAGAGATTTCAGATGAATAGGGGTTGGAGGGAAAATTTCTCCAGTTAGCCAAGGCCCCTGCTGCTGAAGCTACGCACCAAACATTGGGATAGTGCAAGAGCTAAGCAGAGAAGAAACTCTAACTTGTAGGGAATGGTCTGTGGCCACTCATAAGTGCTTCGTTGTTGGATCTGGTCTGAAAGTGGAAAATGCTAAGTATTTTATAAATGTCCTTGTGTTTTACAAGCAGGCTAGGGAGATGATGTCTGGCCACCGAGGTCTAGACAGCTTGGGAGTTTCAGCCACAGCAGACACACTTCCTCTTGGATTCAGCTCCTGGAAAATATAGCAAACCAGCTCCCCATGAACATGCCTTCAACATCCCATGCTGCTGAAAATGAGTGGAAGACCCTATGAATGACATGGCAATGGCAGACAAGGGCTTGTAAACACAAGTTATGCTGGCCATGGCCAGGAGATGTGTGGAAATATGCCACATGTGGCCAGAGGAAGGTGGGTGGTGGTAGGCATGTTTAAAAGGATACAAGGTGGTGCTGCACAGGGAGAATGAGTCCGATTCTCATTTCTACACCCCTACACTTGGTTGGTGGTATTTACACATACCAAAGACCTGGTCAGTAACTAAAGTATTTATTTCAGTTATTTATAAATCCACTGACTGACCATTCAGCTTCAACCATAGCATTTTGCCTCTGGAGACCTGGACTACAAGATCAGAATTTTTGCTTTTGCTGTCCCAGGCTCTCCTTGAGGCAACTGGCTGAGACTGAAGCTGCCTGAGAGACCCTAGCGCACCATCTAATGAAGAGGCTGGGTCCCTGAAGGGCACGGAGCACATCTGCAGAGTTTGGTTACTGTAGTGAACTATCCACAACCTGGCAGCTAACACAGTTCAGACTCTGAGAAACCATATGCCACGAGCTCCTCTTAGAGGACTGGGTTTACCCTGCCTTTCTGTGGTCTCTGCACCAATCTGACACCTTTCTAAGCGGTCAGACATTTCCAAACGGTTCTGACAGCCATGTGTGGAGTCATCATTCCCTCCCACAACCCATCCACCCTCCCCTGTCTCTCCCTCCCCCCTTCAAAATCCCCCACCCCCAAACCCTTGGTGATGTTGCTCACCCCTGCACCAGCAACCCTGAATTGAGCAGGTGGTCATTTCATCTTGGTGAACAACTGGAAACCAAACAGTTAGAAACATCTGTCAGGCCATGACAAATTGCAAAATAACAAACCAGCAAACAGGAGGAAATGCACATATAAAAAAAAGTTTTTCTCCTGGCATATTGTCAATAAGATGCAATTTTTCCTTCCACAGGGAAGGGATTTAAGTTCTTGACTGATATGATGCTTGGAGATGTCATTTGTTTTTCATTATAAAAAACCTCAACCAACCAAAAATTTCTGACCCCAAACTCACAAACTGGTATTAACAAAATAAGGTAAAAGGACAAATCTCCCAACAATGACAACCAAAAAATAAAGGTACACATCAGCATTTGTAATCAAAAACTACTACATACTGTACTTGGGAAGTCTTCTGGGAAAAGATCATTGGCATCTAGTGAGGACATCACTAAAAGTCTTGTGCATATGATATGTATGAGACAATGATGCCATTGGAAGGTGGGTGGACGGACCCTTAGGAAACTGTCACTCACAAAACTGTTCCATGACAAGAGAAAATAAGAGATGTAAAAAGGATTGGTTTTCCCCATCCCCACCCCCCAAGCATTACAGATTCCTTCTCATTTGTCGGAAACAGCCTCTTCTAGTCTCAGTTTATTTGTTTTTTTAAAAAAAAGTCTTCAGCTTTTGAAGAAGTCCATCAATTTCTGAGATGCACTTGGTTCCACAGCACCAAAGAGCTTCAGCTCTCTCTCCCCTTTGATTTGCTAACAGGGGATTTTGGGAAGGACTGCTAGCTGCAGGACATTCCCAGAGTTGCCATTCCCCATAAGAAAGAGAAGTGCTTCTCGTGACCTTTCTTTGCATTCATCTTCTTGAAAAAGTCTCATTGCTCCAGAGGTGTCTGGGCCCAGATGCAGCAGGCTTGTGCAAGAGGAACCAGATGAAGCTGCTCTCTTCTCTTCCTTTGGAGACTCCCATTGGTCTTGGAGCCCTTTTCAAGAATGCAATTGCTTAATTGTTATTTAAAAATATTTCATAGTTGTTTTTTTTTCAAAATAGTTGTCTTTTTTTGTTCCCTTTTTCCATTGCTTAAATTCTAGAAGCTCTTGGTGACTTCTCATTGTTGATGACAGGGCATTTTTTCCTGTTGCCATGATCCTCAGAGCAGCTGCCTGTCTCTGGTCCATGCAGAACACTCAAGAACTAGAGCTCGGACATACAGGGGCAAAGGGGAGCAGGGCCTCAAGGAAGAGGAGTAGGAGGACATGTAGCTATCAAACCTCCACAGACTGAATTTGGTTCATCTGTGCTCTCATCACCTGGATACTGTTCAGAATTTTCTTCTGGTGTCCTGCTAAAGTGACACCAACTCGCAGAATGTCCCTTTGGGAGGAAAAGAAACAAATACCGCATAAATATCAGAAGACATTTTCTCACAGCAGATCAAGCCCATATATGAATGTGGCATGTAGGGAGCTGCAGTCCTCACAGATTTATTCCATAAATGTAACAAATGCATACAAACCTGGTGAAACCTCTACTCTTTCTCTTTGACTCTCCCTAACTCATCCTCCCAGTCTTTGCATTTGCTGCCTACCTGCAGCACCTCCAGAGTACTGGAACCTCAATAGAGAGTGTGAAACCAAATACCACAGGCTCTGCTCACTGCTTGTAAGTGAATTTGCCTTAGGTTTTCTACGTTTGTATTGTTTTCCTTCTTTACGTGTTTGGATTTTCTCTCTCATTGTGTGACAGTGTAACCCATTTTTTTCCATCCCTGGAGACATATCAAGAGGATGTGTCACACCCTCATCAGTGTGAATCTCACTCCCCCTGTGCAGAAGTGATAAACTTTTGCTACTTACCCTCTTTGCTAAATCATGGCAATCTAATTTTTGCACTGCTAAATTTTTATTTTTTATAGATATTAGGCATTTGGGAAAAATAAAGGTCATGCCAAGAGCATGAGTGTGATTCTGCATTGGTCCTATCTGGATCACTCCAGCTGAGTTTGCCACTCATCTCCCTCTTGGTGGATAAATCTCAGTCATGAATTCTTCTCATCAGGGAATGGATGTTGTTCAGGACGTGACCCATACCTGACTCTAAGGATTTTCAGTTGCCTTTTCTCCTTCCTTGAGAGTTAGGAACAGACTTTTAAGAGGAAGTGTGGCAAAACCCTTGCCTGTTTTAGAGTGGAAGTCAATGGGCAAAGAAGGGTAAACAGGAACTCCAAGGAAAGGTGGAAAAAAATCCTCTAGCACGAGTAGCACGTCAGCCTGTATGTTGGCTTTAGAGCTTGCTTTAGACCTTGTGTCTTTGGTCAAATAAAAGGAGCATGAAGAAGGAATGCTAGGCATGGGGCTATGCACAGATTTACACATTCTGGCTGGTGGTAACTGACTGGAGAACACCACTGGAACATACTTCAGCCCATGCTCTCTGAGACTAGTGTGAGAGTGAACATCCAAGAACAGCTTTGCTGCTGGCCGGACTCCTGCTCAGCAAAACAACTGGAAACCTGCTAGCACACTACACAACTTTGGCACCCAGACTGATGCCCTTCACAGTGACTACTTTTCTCGCTGCAAGGGCTTTCCACTCCTTCCTCTGCCCCAGCCAGATGTGCTGAGCTAGGGAATTTTCCTCCTTGGATGAGTTTGGCACTTTGACTTTTGCTTTTGTTCTGATAGGCAACAAAGCCCAAAGTCTTCACTCATGTCTGTAAACCAGAATAAGACTGTGGCCCCGCACAGCCCTGTGCTTCCTAAGCTTTCTGCCCTGGACATAGATCGTTTGGTGGGCCATGTGTCCCAGACTGCAGATAAACCAGTGAGAAACCTTCCAAGTAGGTCGGTGTTGAAACCGTGTGGATTTGGTGAACTTAATCAGTCTTCAATAAACATTTACACTTTGTTGGCTATCCAAATTTGAAGAAAAGAGTGCCTCATGGCAATTCAGCTCCACTTACATGATTTATCTACTTCTGCAAAGACCAGCAAACATTACAAGGTGGTTTCAAGTAGTAATGTTGCAGCATGATTTCCCAAAGAAAAAGGACTTGGAGTGTCCTCCAAGCATTAATATGCCCAGCCAAGCATGTGAGAAATGTGGATGGGAGGTTTGTCACAACTGGTGGGGACATGAGCTGAGGACACTGTTGTGATTGTGATGAAGGTACGGAGAGAAGACTTAGAAGCTACTGTGAGGAACATGGTAAAGAACTAGGAGAAGTGGCTTTTAAAGGACACAGAGCATGTCCATGAAAAAACAGACTTCATCAGCTGGACTGCCTGCAGAACTGTTTGCTGTTATATACATTGCAAATAGCACAACCTAGGCAGGGTTGGGTTGTGGTGCGGGTGTGATGTCCCAGTTTGGTCAAAGCTCTTCTTCCCTGTCCTTCAGATTTTATGGACCCTCTTTCTGTTGTATGATCACAGCCTATAGTGTGTGAAAATCATCCCCAGGGTCTTGGGGTTGTACCACAGATGTACTGAAACAGTCAGAATTGCCATGTGAATTTCCTGGCAGCAAATAAGAACAAAAAGATAGAAAAGGTCAGTTTGGCTGTTTGCGTGAATGGATTCTGATTCATTATAGTAGATTTAAAGTCTGGAATTAAGCACCAAATCCAAAAACCTTCCTGATTACCACGCACAGAGACATTGCAGCACTTACAGATGGCTTTAATGCTTGGTGCTTTCTTAGGCAGGCTTTCTAAAGCTAACGGCAACCAACCACAAGTCTTTCACCAGAGGCATCAAAGCCCCAGCTAGCCCCAAGAGATTTCAAAAAACACCACAAATGGATTTCAGCTGCCTGCTTTCTCTGAAGAATTTGCTAAGATTTTGCCACTGAGGGATGTTTTTCGTGGATGTAGGACAATTTAGAACAAACTTGAAACCATCTGGACTTTCAGAGGCCTTAGGCAGAAATTTGATTGCAGCATGCTTGTCTCCATCGCCAATACACCATACATCCAAGAGGACTGCAGAGTCTAAAAGTGCTCTTGAGTGGCTGGAGAATTGCCTGATGCTGGCCTGAAATCTCCATTTTTTCCATGTTCGGGTTTTGGAGTCCCTTGTGGGGTTTTTGTTTTCACAGTGGGGACACGCAGTGTGATAGTCTGGAAATGAATTCTGCAAATACTGAGTGACAGATAGACACACAGTCTAGAGACAAGACAGAGCCTGCAGAACAGAGTAGTTCTGCAGAAACTGAATAGACAAAAAGTGGGTCCACAAAGCAACAAATTCTATAGAAGTAAAACTACATCATGTGAAAATAAAAACTAATTCAACAATGACCATTTGTTGTTAAACTATTGAGACTTTTCCTTGTGCTTTGGGAATAGAAGCCTGGGCACTTACTCTACAGTCATCTGAGATACTATGTCAAAAGTTGTGAAGCCAGCGCTGGTAAAGCTCTCCTTGTACTGGCTCATCTTGATGGCATCCAGCCATTCATCCACAGTGTTGAAGCTGGTATAATCTGGGATTGTGCGGTCAAGTAGGGGGAGGTTCATCCTGAAAGACAGAAATGGGGAATGAGCAGAACAAACAGTGGCAAGCATGTGTATTTCTGCATCCTCTGTCAGCTGGAGGGACCTAGACTAGCATCATTGACAGTGCCTGCACCACCCAGAAGGCACTCTATTCAACTGAGGGAAGGATTGTGAAGAGCATCAGAGAAGCCTGGATCAGTTTATACAGGAGAGGTAGGAGCCATCAAAGACAATGGGATGCAGCTCTAAAATCCTGGCTGCACAAGGGGAGAAAGTACATTCTCATAACGGGGCCAGTGCTTCCCACAAGTTGGTGTATCCCCAGCCGTTCCAAGGAAACATCATACTGCCTGATGAGGCTCTATTTGCCTCCAATGCATGCGAGATTGGACTACCAAAGCAACTACACCCATCCAGCAATCATGTGTACATGAAACCAAGATGCTCCTCTAACTGCAGAGTACACTGTCCAACTTAGTGAGCTGTCTGTGTTCACCAGATCACCAGAGTGACCTTGACATCTTTTAATGCCCTTCCTATAAAGGACCAAACAACACAGGCCAAGCTGCCTCTAAAATAGCTAGCCTAGAGAGATGCAGGAATGGTGCCCAACAGGACACAAAGGACAGCAGATCTGCAAATAGAAGTCAAAGGACAAGAGGAAGACAGAGATACATACCCAGAGGAGAGAGGTGCCATGGCTTTCAGGCTGTTAGGATTTCGGATCATTTTATCTAAGGTGTTGACAATTTGCCCAAATTTCGGTCTGTGGTTTCGATCCTTCTGCCAACAGTCAAGCATTAGCTGGTGCAGGGCATTTGGACAATCCATAGGTGGTGGTAGCCGATAGTCCTGCTCAATAGCATTTATCACCTGCAAGAGGACAAAAAGAGATCAATATAGTTGCAATAAAACCTATTTAATTCATAATGTTCCTTTTCTTGGATCCTGAGGGTGACTGGCACAGCCAGTCATATTGCAGCAGGGCTGCTCTGTGTACACTTACTGTTGCCTACCATCTCAGCCACCACCACATGCTTATTCTTTAACTCTCAGCCCTCTGCATGTCTTGTTGTCCTGTGAGGTGATGCCAGCCTTGCTCAGCTGACACGCAGCCTTGCTGACTACTTGTGATGAGCCATGCCCCCATCAGTCTCCTAATCTGGGGAAAGAGAGCATCCACTCTACCTTAACAAGGATGCGTGAGCCCACAGCTCCAGGCATGAGAAAGGTGAGTCAGAGAGAAGAGCTCATGTCTGGAACAGGCTGCCCAGAGAGGTCATTGAGTCACCATCCCTGGCGATATTTAAAAAAACATGTAGATGTGGCACTTAGGGACATGGTTTAGTGGTAGACTTGGTAGTTTTAGGTTAACGGTTGGACCTGATGCTCTTAAAGGCCTTTTCCAAACTAAATGATTCTATGATTCTATATTTTCTGACAAGTACAGAGCACAATGCAACAGCTTACTGGGAGGAGAACATCCCCATCCAGTGAAGAGTCTGCTTGTGAGTTACAGACAGGGGAAGCTGCCCCTGTATTTTCCTTCCTCCGGTGGTGCTTTCTACTCCTGCCAACAACCCAGCCCTTCCAGGTGACAGGGTCATGCCACGGGACAGGGCTGTGTGCGCTGAGCCACCAGTAACAGCTGGACTCCCCACAGTCCTGTGCACAGGCAAACCAAAGCACACAGTGGGGACGACCAAGGCCTTGGTCAGCAGAGGCAGACACAAGAGAACCTTGCCACAGCATGCAGCAAAGGGTTGCAACACAGGTGCTGCAGGTCTGTGGGCCAACACAAGAAAGCTTTGGCTGCTGTCTGTTTGGTCTCTCCTTACTGCACCACACAACCTGGGAAAATGTCTGGTCTTACAATGTTCAGTGGAAATAGCACGTGCACAAGGGCTGGAGGATCTTTTTCAAGGGGAAGCCCATCTCCCTGTCACTCTGCACCTGTAGCCCTCCATATCCTCCTGGGTAACCAAGGAGGATGGAGCTGCACAGCTTCTTCCAGGGGCATATGTTCCTCTGACAGAAGTATGTAACAGGCAGGCTTCTCCTACCTTCTTGGCCTTAGGCATCATATGGTCATTCACACAGCACTGGCACTGAAAGGCGAGCAGAAGCAGCCTTGGACACTAGAAACAGGCTTGTGCATGGCAACAAAAATCAGAAGTGAGGATAAAAACCAGAACTGAGAATACTGCAGTATCTGAAATCAGGGGTGGCATTTTGAAATTACTAACTCTCCACAGGGATGATAAAAAAGAGGAGGAAGATTGACAGAACCTCCTTCAGAGATCCAGAGGAAGGACCTCGATGCCTTTGGCTGTTCTCACCATGAGATCAAGGCTGCCATGGCTTTCTCCAGCCATGTCTTGCATACTTCCAAGGGCAGAAATCTGGCTGCTGGGCTACCCTAGGGCTGTACCACCCTCCTGGGGAAGGACTAGCCATACCCATACAGCAGTGTGGTGAATACACTGTTGAGCAGAAAGGTTACATAGAGAAAACTGAGGATACTGCAGTTGGGACTGAGAAAGCAGCAGGGTAGGGTTGGCAGAGAGGAGACACTGGAGATGCTGTGGCTGTAGAAGGCTGCTGCTCCAAGGAAGGATAGGTGGCAGACCCACGCCAAGCAATCCAGGGTGTGAGGTGGGGCATCTGGCATGGTTTAAGATGGACTGTGGCTTCAGGCAGAGAATGGATTGGGAGGGTGTGCCACACACTGATGTGCATGGCCAAGCTGCAATACAGATGGAGGCTGGCACTGCTGCTGCCAAAATGTGCCAGATAGAAGGAGTCCTCCCTCGCCTCTGCCCCCCTGGCTGGACATGACAGTGCTCCACTGAGCCTGTGAAGGTCCGACTTGAGGCATCACGGGTGTGCTTTGCGCAGCTCTTGGCTTCTGTTCAGGGATTCTCCCAAGAGATGCGAGTTGTTCCCTCTCCCAGCTCTCTGGATGGCAGATCTATCCGAGACAGAGGGCAGGGGGAGCAGGGGGGGAGCAGGGCTGGGGAGGGTCATCACACAAGCATCAAGTGCTCATCTCCAGCATGGACCAAACGGTTTCCTAACAAGCCCCCCGCCTTGCTGCCATCAGACACATCCTGCGAGGGGGCACAGGCTGCATTCTCTGTCTTGTCTCTTCCCCCAGCCTCCCCAGGCGCTCACACTCCAGGGTCAGGAGGCTAATCTGCAGCGAATAGCTGCCACACGCTCATTCGCAGGGAGGACCAGCTCCAATTAAATGGTGACAGCTTCTGGGGTGCAATGTCCTGTGGCAGAAGGGGAAGAAGAGACTGGAGACAGACGTTACACAGTGGGCTGTGCCAAGGAGACAAGCACAGGCTCTGCCATCCCCGCCGGCTGAATCGGTGATGCCGCAGCACAGGGGTCGCGGCAGGAGAAACCATTGAGGGAAGAGGTCCATGGGAGGAGGACAAGGGAGAGGGACAGCAGAGGACTACATGTACAGAGGGATGCTGAGGCAGGGAGAAGGGCAGTGACAGCTGGCTGCGAGAAATGCTTGAAACTGCAGGCAATAATGAAGCCTCAACAGGAAGGGAATTGTCCTTTCTGAGAAGGGCATACTCCTAACTCCCTTCCCTTCGGCTCAAAGAACTGATGTAAAGATTTTTCTGGTATGCCAGGCGCTGGGGCAAAGCTGTGAACAGCCAAAGGCGCTAAGATATCATACATCTGCTACAGGCGTTAGGGACTCACTTGAATAAATTTCCCACCAGGCACTAGGGAGGAAATTGTCCCACTCTGGAGAAACTTGACATGGCATGGATGGGGTTATATTTACTTGAAAAAGGTCTGATCTGCCATTGGGGCAGGAGGAGTTGCAGGAGTCAAGCGGGAGCTTGGCTCTCACTCTCTCCGTGTAAGGCAGGGTTTTTTCAGGAGCCCACAGGATGACGGAGATGGAGATGGCAGTCTGAAGGCTTCCAATGGACTGCCCAGAGGCAGCTCTGAAACAAGCTGGAAACCAGGCAGATGCTGCAACATCCAGGTTTGCAAGACCCAGGCTTGCAGCAGAGGGAGAGGACAAGACCTCTGTCTACCAAGGGTCTACCCAGGACCTTGGTGTTAGATCCTGCAGGTTCACAAGGCAAAGACCACATCAAGAAGAGCAGCTTTTCAGAGAGACAATGTTACAAGAGACCTGGAACCCCCACACCAAAGGGGTCTTCTGGACACACACATGCAAGTGTAGCACTCTGCATGGCACTGATCGCCACTGGATGGGCGGGCTTTGACGACCCAGGTATCAGGTCAAGAGAAACGGGGAGAATGGCATTGCTATGGTGAAGGTGTGGACTGCAGCCACAGGTCATCCCTGCATGGAGACAAGGGCTTATAGAAACTGCCTGGGTCCGAGGGAGCAAGGAGTGCACAAAACAGTTCCATCTGAATTACAGAAGAATCATAAAGTATTCAAAATTAAGCATGTTCTGAAATACCTTGTGGTTCTGGCTTCTAGCTGAGTACAGGTTGCTTGGCTTCTTACACACCACAGTCCAAGCTTACCGTGGGAGAGTTAATGACCCTCTAGTGGAAGACGTCCTTGACCATGGCAGGGGGGTAGACTACAGGACCTTTAAAGGTTCCCTCCAACTCAGACCATTCTATGACTCTGACTCTGTAACAGACTTTCACCAAATGCCTGTGGTTTCCTGCAGATGAAGACTCTGCTTGCTGCTCCAGGAGCTCTCAGGTCAGTGGCAGCACTTCCTTTTCCACCCGCCTGCTCCCTTTCCTCCTGGGCATCTGTCTACCACCCCTGAGGGTGCTCACATTAAACCTGTCCTACTGTAGTGGGTGTTGTACAGTCTGTAATCTCTGCCACAGCAGCACAATGGGACAAAAGCCAAAGTTATCCCCATTACTTCTTCCAAAGGTGTTGACCTTGGACACATCTCTCACAACAGAGAAGGCTCCGGACATGCCACAGGCTGGGTCTAGCTGTAGTCACGCTTTGGCCTTCCAATGCTCCCCGTGTCACTGTTCCTGCTCCTTGTTTCTTAACAACTCACATCTTGATTGGTCATATCCCAGTAAGGCCTCTCGCCATACGACATCACTTCCCACATGACTATTCCGTAGCTCCACACGTCACTGGCTGATGTGAATTTTCGGTACTGAATTGCCTCAGGTGCTGTCCATCGTATTGGGATCTTCCCACCCTACAGGACAACAGAGAGGACAGTAACAGAAAGAGCAAGAGTAACTGAAAATGATGAGTGTTCAAAATATTTACCTCCAATATGCTGGTAAAATCCTAGAAGGAAGGGACCACAGGACTATCCCTAACACTACATCAGGATGGCTGTGGCTTGTCTAGCCAAGCCCAGGAAACGTTCAAGGATGATAATCCCCCCAATTTGCCTGGTGACCTGTCCCAGGGCTGCCACACCCTCTTTGGGAAGAAGCTTTTCCTTTTATTCACCTTGAACCTCCCAAGCTATGGTTTTGTCTATTGTCCCTTATTATACCGTCTGGTATCACTGCAAAGAGTTTGGCTCTGTCTTCTTCGTAACTGCCCTTCAAGTACTGCCAGTCACTTATAGGTGTCCCCTCAGCCTCCTCTTCATCATATTAAACAAGCCCACCTCCTTCCACCTGCCTACTGCTATAGCAATCTTCAGCATGACAAAATGCCCATTGTGCTAACAGCGTCTTTTGTAGAAAAATGAATGGCTATGAATGTAGAAAAATCCAAACTGATCCCCTTTGAATCTCCCTCCATCCTTTTGCTGTCACTTAGCTATCTCCAGAGCAGAACAAAAAGAATTAGAACACCGTCCTCTTCAGCTTTCTACATCTGTAGACTCTTTGAAGTCAGTGAATATATCACTCTCTTGAGCTGAAGTCCTTGTGTGTCAGTCTGTTTATTAATATATAAATGATCCAGCAGTTTTTGATCCTGCCCATTTCTGGAGACAGAGGCAGACTGAACATCTTCTTTAGTATGGCATGCTTGGTCACTGGTGGGAAATGGGATGGACTGGGCAGGCACTGAGGTCTCTGTCATCCTGCTGGGCAACAGCAACTCTAGAGAAATCAGGACACTCCGCTCCCATAGAGGAGTTTTGCACTGAAGTGCACAAGAGTGGTGTACACAGCATGGGGCCACAGAGATTGCAATGCTCTACTTAAGCCCGTGCAGCCTCCTGATTTTCCACCAGGGTCTTTGGACTTGAGCTACTCACAACTCAGAGGACTTGCTGAACGGAAAATCTTCCCCTGTGCTGAAAAATAAGCGCAATTGTCTGTGTTTTGTGGCTGTGAGAAGATTAAGGAACATTATGTTTTGCCAACGAATAACAACCATGTCTTATCAAGGGTCTCCTAGGACTTAATAGGAGTCATACCCTATACATGCTAGAATAATGAAAAAAAGACAATAATCCTTAATCTTCTCACAGCCACAAACCTCAGACAAAATACTTTGTTCTCCACAGGAGAGGAAGACCAAGGATTCCATACCAAATACGACATCCTCTCCATCAGGCATACTCTTAACAGAGCTCCTGACAAGCAGTGGATTTAAAAAAATCGCTAAAAAAGAAGTCCTAAAGTAGAAATTACAGACTGGGTATATTTGCGAGATCCTTGTGGGAACTCATTTCAGTAAGACCTCCCACCTCTCTGGTAATCTGATCCAAAGCTTCACCACTCTGTTGGAGAAGGAGATTTTCCTAAGGTCCAGCATGAACCTCCCATGCCATAGCTTGCAGCTGTTGCCATCCATGGACACAAAGCCTCTAGGATAATTATAATTAAAAAACACTCATGCATCTTCGGACATTTGAAGATGGTGCATTTTGAAGAGGAAGATACTGTTACGTCTGGTACTCTGTTATAGTGGGTACACATATTCTATCATTATAGATAATGCATGTCCTGCTACAGTGCCCACAGTTCAAGAAGAATAAATTAGAAATGACAGAGAGAAAAGCTACAGGCACAATAACAGGAATAGCAAACAACAGTAAACACCAGAAGCTCTCATGTATTTAGCTTAACAAAGGGAAAGTTAATTGGATGTAAGGATCATGTTGTGAAAAATAAATGTGTCTCTAAAAGCCATAGTATGACTGTATAAGTTCAAATAGTTGATGTTTGAAGCTACACAAGTTCAGATGAGAATAAAAGCACATTTTTAGGTGTTTGTTAGGTATTCAACTACTGTTACAATTCACTAAGAGCTATGCCAGACATCTCAACATTGGCAGCTTCAAAAGATCTGGGAGAGATGATTTCCTACAGATCATGTCTCAGCTCTCTTAAAAATTCCAGGAAGTCCTGTCATAGGCATTATACATAGGCATTGATCCTGTAGCATCATTGTAGAGCGATGCTGTACACCTTTGCAAACAATGATATTTATGAGCACTCCTGGCTGCAATCTTACTGAACAACAACGAAGTCTTCAAATTATCCTTTGGTCCCGGTGCACGTTCGTTAGCCTGAGACAGGCCATGAGTCCTCAGTGGCACTTGTGCCACTGGCACCATGGTGTTCCTGGGAGGCTGTTACGTGATCATGAAGCCTTTTCTGGGAATGTTTCTCTGTCTAATTCAGACAGACTCTCTGGAAGATCAGTACCTAGTACTGCAGGGCTTCACCCAGCATGCATCCACACTTCAGTCTGTCATTCCTAGGGCTCAGCCTATGACATGACATGAAAAGATCATGGTCTCCTGGACAGCAGGGCAGCATGATTGGACAGTGATGGTAAAAAAACCCCAGACTTGCCACCCTGGCAACAAATCTGTCAGGGCAGCACCTTGGAGGACTCCCAGGCGTGTGACGCTGGGCAGGCATAACGCATCATCCCAACGAAGGGCTTTATCAGGGACATGTATATGTTTTCAGATATGTTTGGAAGAAGGCTCAGTTATCCACAGGAATGACTATAGGACCCATCAACAGCCACTGGACAACCAGACAGGACCTTGCAAGAGAAAATCTTCCTTGGTTCATTTCATTGGTCTTTCCCATCTGGCACCTTATTTCCATTGCTGGCACCCTGAAAAAGTGCTCCCCACTTCAAGGGAGGATGTCCCCATTTTCCTCTCTTTCCTCCCTTCACCACCCATCCCTCCCACTCTGGAAGAGCAGCTTTACCAGTGCACTGGTGTAGGTGGGATCAGAGGTGTCATCCTCCAGAAAACGGGAGAGGCCGAAGTCAGACACTTTGCAGACCAGGTTGCTGTTCACCAGGATGTTGCGGGCAGCCAGGTCCCGGTGCACATAGTTCATATCGGCCAGGTACTTCATGCCTGCTGCAATGCCCCGCAACATGCCCACGAGCTGGATCACTGTGAACTGCCCATCATTTTGCTTAGGGGAAGAAAGGGAAAGAACCCACATGAGAGGAGCAAATTCACAGCCTGCCATGGTCAGGTTAATAACCAGTAGCCTCTTTCTACACTGCATGTCAAGACAGCGCTATGCCATGAGTATGTAAGTTCCCTCTCAAAGCAAGAGGGTGGAGAGTGGAGAGCTCACAGGGGCTGGAAGTCACCCTCACACACTCTATGGGCATCACTACGATGGCTGCTGTCATCCAAAGGTGGCAGATCTGCCGCATCTTGCACAGGAGGGTTCAGAAAGGGAAATCTATTCCTATTAAGCAGGTTATCATCCTTCAACACAGTGAATTATCCATTTCAAATTCAGACCTATAAATATTTAGACAGAGCAGCTGGAGGTGAAGTCCTGCTGTGTTAAAGCTATGTTGGACTGTCCCTCCATGTCCACAGAGGCAGAGTTTGTACAGGCATCTGTGGGCATGTCTACAGGTAGGCTCAGCCTTTCGCTGGTATGAGTGGACAGACACACGTAGCAGATGACAGCCTTGGTGCCACCTCCACCTCTGTTCGTGAGACACAGACCTCCGGACTATACAGCAGCTGCCCCAGTGGCAGGGGATGCTGGGCAGTGAAGAGCACTGTTATATTGGCACCGGGAAGGGAATCTTCCCCTCCGGTCCTCTTCTGACCCAACACTATCTCTGGAGCTGCATGCTCCTGGGATCTCATACCCGCAAGAAGGAGTCCAGTGAGCCGTTCTCCATGAACTCAGTAATGATCATGACTGGCGAACTCTTGGTCACCACCCCTTCCAGGTGGATGACATTGGGGTGGTCGAACTGCCCCATGATGCTGGCTTCACTCAAGAAGTCCCGTCTCTGCTTCTCCGTGTAACCAGACTTCAGGGTCTTGATGGCCACAAAGATCTCTCTTTTGCCAGGAAGCTTGAGATGCCCACTACACACCTCACCAAACTCCCCTGTGAACAAAGGGAAACAAGTAGGGCTTGTCAGACTTCCAGACCTCTGCCTTTCTCCCCAAGGGACCCTGCTCCCGTGGCTTCCAGCTGTGCCCGCCGTCGCATGCCTCTGAGCTGACCACTCACCATCTGATCTGTGCTTCCTCCCTCACTCAACACCAAAGACCTCACTGCAGGTGGACTCATCATTGCTGAGGAGCACTGGACATGGGACTACATACGCATGGGAACGCCTTGTCTCCAGCACTGGATGTACTTGGTCTTCCAGCACTGGACCACCTTGCTCCTGTCAGTCCAGGCTGGGGCTAAGTGTAAGACCTTACTGACACTAGTCTTCCCAGTACATGTAAGGCTAAATCCTCACCAAAGCCTGAGACCGCAAAGGAGACTGTGCTGCTGAGGGCCAGCGAGATATTCACAGTTCACCTACCTGCCCCGATCACCTGTTCGATTTTGACACAAGAGATATCGATTTCTTTTGCAAATTCCCTGACAGCCTCATTGGGATCTTCATAGGTGAACGGATCGATATAAATCTTCATCCCTGGAGTCACTGCATAAAGGTGAAGGAGAGAGTCAGACAGACAGATGCAATTGGAATGGCTGATGGCTGGCATCAAGGAAAAGAGAAACCTATTTGTGTGAGGGTGTTGTTTTACCTCAGCAAGTAGCGTAATCAAGGGCATGAAGCAGACACAGCAAAGCAGTTTGAGAAAGAACATGCAGAGCCATGTTTGCATAGGACTATTAAAGCTGGATTATAATGAATACTGCCCATAAGTCATTGCTGGGGCAGTGGAGGGCTACACCATCAGCTAGGACTGCAAACTGTGACCACAGGGAACCACACATACTTGGCAGCAGGAGTTGGCTTTAGCAGATCCAGAGGAAAAGTAAGAGAAGCATTTGCTCTCGGGAGATGGTTCATAGGCACACCAATGTCACATGATGCTCATCAAGCTGCAACACTGCAAGAGGAGCATTTGTAGAGACTGCAGCTCTGCCCCACTGGCCTCCTCTGCATGCTGCTTCCATCTCAGCACACCATCCCATTAGAGGCATGGGAAAGTGGCGGAGGAGACCTGGGCTCAGCACTCAAGACAGGAGGTGGTGAAAGTCTGCCTTGGGGTGTACACTGAGGCACATACTGCTCTTGGTTCTCTACATGGAGATCTACAGGGGAGGCAGCTCTACTGCTGACACAGCCACCAAGCCAGACTGACTCCTCCACGAGGGTGTCTGTGACCCTTCCAAGGGGCAGTGCAAGCAGGATGGACGGTCTGGTCTGCCCCCTGTTCTCCTGACAGGTAACCCGGCCTGAGGCTGGCTTCCCTCTTGGTAGCCTCAACATAGCCAAAACAAGCTGTAGGGGACACTGGGGAAATTGCAAAAGCCAAGCTCTTCCTGCTAGACAGAGCAGAAGAGACAGCGATGTGCCTATGTGAAAAGCAGTGGCCAAGGGACTTTGTGAAGTCGGACTGCTAATGCCACATCAGACACTACCTACACCGTGGGACAGCTCTCACCTGCAGTCCTGCAGTTTTCCTCTTTCTATACTCATTTTGCTGGCCTCTGCCTTGCTCCAAAATTGGGGGTATTTGGAGAGCAGAGCTCACAGCTCACTAAATAAGGAGCCCAACACAGAACCAGAAGCATGACTCCCAGCTGCACAGGTAGGATGCTGGTAGGATTCAGGGGAGTTGCTGAAATGACAACAGGCTCCCCACGCCTTGGCAATATGCTAACCATAAGCTGTAGCCTCTCTGCAGCAATTGCTGCTGGGGAGATGAGCAGGGACTGTGCCTTGGACTGGCGTCTTGCGTGATGATGTGGCCAAAAGGCACCACCGGCCCTTTATCAGTTCATCTGCATTCGGTGGCATCGAGCCTGTTCCAACAGTCGTGAAGGCACAGCTATTAATGCCATCCCAGCCTGAAGCTGTCATGTTACACAGACCCCAGGAGAAAGCGTGAATGTATGTTTACACATGCAGCACGGACTGACAAACAACTGAGAGTTGCATTTACATAATCTTTCTTGAAGAGTGTCATTTTTTGTGGTAAGTTATAGTAATGCAGCCAGCACGCTGCTGCCCTAGCACAGAGCTGCAGTTCACTGCTCTGCCTTTTGGGAAATGTTTGCCAGGTAAATGCAGAAGCAACAGTGAGTCCTGTGCTGAAACACTACTGATGTTTTCCGTTCTCTGAACAAGGTCCAGGTCTGCACAGGAACAAGGTATAAAAAAAGGACAGAAATCCTGAGGCTGCAAGCATAACATGAGGTAAATAACAACTGAGATTCGAGCAAAGCAGAATTATAGTGACAGGTGTCTGGTGAGGGAGAAAGGCATTTCAGAGGGCATGCAGCGAAGGGTTGATGAGGGGAAGGAGGATGCACTGGGGTGAGGCAGGGTGCAAAGCGAGGCTGAGAGCAGGAAGGCTGGATGTGAGGGAGTGTCTTGCAGTACACAGGGATGTTGGAAAAGGGAGGCTGCAAGAGAGGGCGTGTTATGTACTGTATTATGTACCTGTATATACAGATACATCTCGTAACTACTAGGATTCTGGGAGCGCTGGGATGGGCTCTAGCAAAGGCACCACAAGGTATGCGGGTTCCTGCAGAAGGACAGTACCCTGCAGGAGGTGGGTGGGTCAGGAAAGGGGTCTCACTGCTGCCCACAAGCTGAGCAAAGCTCAGGAGCCGGCATAGCAAGACAAGGTGTGGTGGCAGGGGCTGCACTGCAGCAGAGGGCGAGGCTTCAGGGGTGCGTGTTGATATCGCAGGGTTCGCGGGGCACGCGCAGGTGTTCACTGCACGGTTGGCACCCAACAGCATGCCGGTCTGGAGAGCACCGACTCTACAAGGCAGGGCAGGGATCTAGATCATATGGGACTGGTTGGGGATCGAGACAGCACAGAGGTCCTCCTGTCTACACATGCACACGCCTGCCATCCCAGTGCTCGGGCTAGGTGGCCTGAGCCCTCCCCACATACCGCAAGGAATGAGTGAACAGGAACACAAACCGAAGAGAGAGCGGACCCCCAGGCCTGGCGGGGGGCCGCGGTACGTACTGTGGCCACTGGTATAGTGCTGCAGCTTGTCGGTGTACTCAGAGTCAGCACGCTCAAAGCCCCGTCTTCTGGAAAGAAAGGGAGTCCTGAGCACCAGCATGGGGCCATCGGGGCTGAGAGACGCACTGCAGGGGCATCTCTTTCCCCTTTCACCTTCCTGTCCCCATCCTCCCCTCCCCTACTCCTGCCACCCTCTGTCTCCAGTCGCCATCCTCTTGCACAGCCCCAGACCTGGGTTATGCATTCAGACTGACCTACCTGTTGCACACAATAATGATGACAACTACAGCAATGAGGAACACCAATCCCGCTGCAGAGGAGCCGATGATGAGTGGCAGTTTCTCCTGCACACTGGTCTGGTACTCAGCTGGCACACAAGGAAGAGGGAACGGGTTACTGCAGCACAGGATGGCTGTACACTAACAAGTTCATTAAGGTCAGAGCATAGCCCTGAGCACTGCCCACATTTGCACGGCTATTGCTAGCGGGCTTCCTGGCATGGTTTTAGTCTGGGACAGCTAGTGCTGTCCCAGGCATGGCTCAGGTTGGCTATGACAGGGGATGTGCCCCAGTAGGAAGGCTGGATGGAGCTATTCCTTTTGGGTGGAAAATTTAGTCCTGTGGATGCATGCTGTGCCTTGCTGCTTGGCATCAGGGGTAGAAAACTGGCTTGGCCTGTTTTATTTAGCAGCACAAATTTAGAAAATAAAGACCCAGGTCTGCATTTGTCATGAACAGCTGTGCACATGAAAATCATAAATTTCATTTCCTCTAAATCCAACTGAGTGGACACGTCCTTGTGCCGGAAAAGCTTGGCAGAAATTGGTCTAGATTATGTGATTCCCTGCATGGACCACCAAGTGCCCACACCTCTCTCCGGGTCTTGCCAGGTTGAATAAATGCACGTGACTTGTCAATGCACCCTTGAAGGGACTAACAGCAAGGGAACCAGCACTGCTGCCAGTGCATCTCCATCTTGTTCAAGTCTCTCTAAACCCTGTGTCACCTTTATGCAGAGGCAGCTGAAGACTCACCTTCAGTCATGGTCTGGAAATACATCTTGCCACTATACCGGCCATATCCAGCCACAGTACGTGCCCGCACCTGGAAGACGTAGATAGTGCCAGCTTTGAGGTTTTGCACTGCCACAGTGTTGGTAGGGCTCTTCACTGTTGTCGAATTTAACTCACTCAGATCCTGCCAAGAAAATACAATCTGTCATCAGAAAAATAAGTCCAGAATCAGGCGCTGCATTTCGAGAAGGAGGAAGCACAGGAAATCAGGGTAGCATGGGTGGAGAGACCACCATGGGGATACCACGGGCCTGAACAAACAGGTCATTCCTCTGAGCCTGCCTCCCAGCAGGGAGACACAGAAGCAGGAATATATATATCTGTGAGTAGGAATATCCCTGAGCTACCCACCATCCCTCAGGAAAGGCTCTGATGAAGGTCTTAGCTAGAAAGATCAGATCACTTCTCCAAGCCTTGAGCTCAGTGGGGATGGGAACTGCTTCCCTCTTCTGTGCCAGCTTTCCCTTTGCACTGACTTCCTTCCTCACCCCCTCCTCCTGTGCCTGATCCAGCCTCAGCACCCTCTCTATTTGTTCTTCCCCATCTCCCTTTGCCTGTGCTGGAGATAATGCCCACCTGAACACAGGGTTTTGGACCTCAGGAGAAGTACTGCTACCATTCCCCTGCTCAGGGCTTCACCAGGGACCATGGCTACGTTTTCAAAGCTGGGGAAATGAAGAGCATATTTAAAAGTGACAAGAAGACTACTTCCAAATTTTTGTCCCATGCCTTGTCTGCAGTTTTTCTAGCTGAAGACTTGAGCAGTCATATCATAATAGTATAGATGGTATTGCACTCGTGTAGGTGATGGATCCATCACTGCCCTTTGTCATTATGCCCTTAGCTGACCATCCAGAAGCACTAGTGGATGGGCAGGGTCTCCCTGTGCTACCCACTGTACAAGAGAACAGACAGTCCCCGTTCCCCACAGGGACATGGAGAAACAGGTCAACAGAGGATAAAGAGGGTACTGAATGTAGTCAGGGCAAGGTGGCCAGGTGCCTGGCAGCCATGAAGTCCTGAAAATCAGCACAAAGCACCAATACATGCAAACAGCATGATATTTCTGGAAGCAAGAGAAATCTTAGGAAAGTCAAGCTGTGAGTATAAGCCCCTGTAAAAGCGGGTACAGGCATCAATTTTTGAATCAAATGTCTGTAGCGACATTGAAAGTGCTTCTCCTTTCTGGTAACACTTCCGATCTGGCAGGTCAGGTTGTCTTGGCAGGGTCACTGGTTGGAACAGATCAGCAGCTGACAGCACAAAATCTGAGCTGGCAAGTTTACAAGCGAATCCCTGAGATCTGCTAACTTCAAGCCACTGCAAAGGGCTCAGCAAGCCCAAGGACTCCCACCCTGCACAGACTCACCAGCGAGGTGAGATAACCTCATGAGAAGTAGGCAGGGACTGGCAGAAAGAAGTCATCAGACACATAGTTTGTGCAATCCCATCAAGTGGGACCGAGGGTGTGATCAAAGGACTGGCCTTCTGTCTCAGCTGTGAAACTCCACTGGGTGGCCACCGAGGGATTTCTTCCTGTCCCGTGCTAACATGAGATGAGAGTGAAACCCCCAGTGAGGAGCAAAGCATCCACTCCTCCTCACCAGCTTCTTCTGCAGTGGACTCCTGAAGGACAGAGAGTATTGAAGGGGCAATCATGCAGAAGGCTTCCCCACACAATGGTGCAAGTTGCGCAGGATGTTGCTCTCTTGCGGTGCTTTGGCTGTCTGCAGGCAACAGTGAAGCAAGAGTGAATGGGGAGCCTGCAGTCAGCTTTGCACACCCTTTGCCTAGACGGGGCTGTGTCCTGAGCCTCCTCAGCTGCGGGAGCACAGGATGAGTCAGAGGTCATCTTGCCCACCAATAAATGATGGAGTTTGCCTTTGGGGGCTGCTGGACTCCTTTCTTTTCCACTCTCCACATTGCTAGCCATCTGGTGACTTTGCTTTCATGTTCATTCACTTCTGAGAACAGCACTGGTGCCTTCACTCAGAGGATCTTCTGCACAGCCAGAAGCTGTGGTACCAGCAACACCAGAGGCCCACAAAAACCAGTCATTCACTATGGGGCTATGACAGACCATGTTGAACCAATGTTCTCCTCATGCTCCTGGGAGAGTCATCATACTGGAACAGAATTGCAAGTGCACTGGCATTTGCAAGATGGATTATACTCATGACCCAGGTTTGTGCAGACTATTCGCCTCACAGCTGCAAAGCAGCTGAAAGACAACATTCACGGAGTTAATTTCTTCTTGTATTAAGCTTTTGAGTGAGCACTGCTCCGGTGTGGATGGCTGGTAAGAGAGTGGTCTGGCAGGAATGTGTTTCTCCAAGTGTGCAGTCAAATTCGGAGGCTTGGAAATGCTGATGGTACATCATTCTGTAGGGTAACGCAGAACAGCTCTGCAAACGCCTGGGAGACTACCACTATTAACAGCGTTCAGCAAAAATTTTCTCTTCTAAAAAATACAACATCAGTTTTATCCATCTGGACCTGGTGCTGAAGGTGCCTGGGTATCACTGGAGTGTTTGGGTATCAGACTAATGACAATGAAAAGTTCATGTACAGATACACAGGCAAGAAAGATCAAGAAAAGATAAGCACACAGAAAACTGATTGCCTCATTTGTCTGATTGTGCCTCAGCGCTCCCTTGGACCTTTCCCAGGCAGGCTAGGAGAGAAATAGATCAGGAAATATTTACAGTTTTAGTGCTCAAGGGCTTGGATGAATCCTCCCAGGCCCTTGGATGGCACTAACAACACAGTTGTTTTGAAATAATTTGTCCAACTGTTCGAGGGAACCTCATCCCTGCTCCCAGAGGACTTTAAATTGAATGTAATGGGCACACTTACAACATGGTTTATAGCCTGGGAAATCGATGTCTGTCTATCTGAGGAAGGTGTGCTTATGACTGTGCTCACCTTTAATCCCAGACCACAACGAAAGAGCATTTACACCTCTCCACCCTCCTTTATCAAACCTATTCTTTCCCCTTGGCATATTGCTCAGGCATCACCTCTCCAGCAACCTGTGCATTCACTTCAAACATTTCTCTGCTTTCACCCCTCTGGGTTTCTCCAGCAGGTCCAGGGCATCCTAGGTGGTTTAAAGTCCAAGTCTAAGCTGTTGTTTTCTGCAGAGGTTTATGTTGTTGTTTTTTTACTGCTGATTTTGGTTTGAGTTTGGAAAACCTAATTCAAAATAACACACTTATTTCCTCATAGGTTTGATTTTGAGTCCTCATCTGGTTCCCCTTCCCATGAGTCAAATCTAAGCTGAAACCAAAGTCTGATCAACAAAGAAAGAGTTTCTGTGAAACGCCTAAGGGATTTGCAAAAATTGTTTCTAAAAAGTCATGTTTTATCAGCCAAAAAAAAAAGCCAAAGAAAAATGTCAACCAACTTAATTTGGCAGACAGCTCCTCCGTGCGTCTGCACAGCGGCAATTTGCTGTGGTTCCTGAAGCACACAGAGCCACATGTACAAAGCTAGTCCAGGGCTGTGTGCCAAATCATCACACACATCTGAATTTCGGCCCCCATGGGATTGAGTGTGTTAGGAGGGACACTCAGATGTGGTAACAGGGTCCTGTCCAGCCACTCTGGGGGTGCATCCGTGGGATCCACAGCTCCTGGACTCTCATGGGGAGCACCACTTGTGGGGAGATCTCAAGAGCATTTGCCCTTCCAGCCAGGTATTTGATCAAGTGTGTTGTGGTAAGAGTGTTTGGATGCCTCTCACAATAAAACTGAACCCTGGACAGAAGCAGCATGGACCTTGGGCAGGGACTGGGACTGCAAGAAAGCTATCGCAGGGGTCCCTGGCAAGGATTTTTCTTTGTTTTCCTGATTTCACAGTTTTCCCCAGACAGAGCCTCCTCCAACGGCTTGGGCAGCATGGGGGGAAGGGGCATCCCAGCTTTCGCTCCATCTTGGGGACAGGTGGGAAACACCAGGCTGCAGCTTTGGCCCCAGGCTCAGGGATGCTCCAGCACTGCAGGCTGGAGACCAAGAAAGTCCTCTGAGCCAGCCTGGGAGCAGTGCTTCCAGCCATCCTTGGTACGAGCGCTGGTGACACCCAGTCCTGGGGATGCTGGGCTCCTGCCAGAAGCTCCTGGGCACCACGAGGGCTACAGCCAGCTCTACTCCCACCTCTGCGTTCACCACCAGCTGCCACAGGTCACCTCTCCCCCACCCTTTAGTCCCCCAGCCAACCCATGCCCTTTCCCCAGCATTGGCTGGAGACGTCAAAGGGCTCTTGTGCCTCCTAAACCATTTGCATTGGTGACCGAACTGGGCACAAGGGGTGGGCTGAATGTCTTCAATTACAAATTGGGTAACTTACACAGCATGCCCTAAGCCCAATCATTTTGTGTAACAAGGAGAGATAATTATTCTTTGCAGTGCTTGACACTGCAGTGGGTCTCCAGTTCCCACACTCTGGGATGCGTTTGGCAACTTTGGACAAAAACTATTACGCCCTTTCTAAATGAAGACAACACTCATTTTCTAATAAGACAAACATTGGCAGGTGCCTCTTGGAGGTAAAAAAAAAAACAAACCAAACATTAAGGAGAGGACCATAGAGAGCAGACACATCATTCAGTGTTTGCGTAACAATCTGCACTGATTTGCTTCAACTACATGTGAAAGAAAATCATAATGTTGCCTCTACACAGGCATTCTTAATAGCATCTAATAATAACAATGTTATAAATAATCTGTGAAATGGAAACAAAAATATACCTTTGTTTCAGGTATTGTGAACTGCTCTTCTCAGTTAATGCTAAAACACTTATTCCAATTTTTTAAATTTAATTTATGTCTTTATATAGAAGAGAATCAATTCAAAATGAAGAGCCAAAACACTTATTATAAAAGATGCACATGCTGCTATTTTTACATTTGAACTGTTTTCATGCTAATAAAATACAATTTTCTACTGGGGAAAAAAAATTCCACCAGAAACAACTTAAACTAGCTCCAGAGATATTTTATGAGCATTCAGAAGCACATGGGACAGTTTGCACTGAAACGTTTTGGAAAAAAATCACCTCTGTACAGACTGGCAGTTGAGTGAGAACACACCTGGGATGTGTCACACACCCCATTCAAATTGCAGTACTGATGGGAAGCAGGGGGAGAGCACGGCATAACCAAAGCTGTGCATTTTGGGACTGTTCCCAAGGATCAAGTAAACAGCTTTCAATTGCAGAACTCAGCACTGCAATGGCTAGACTAACATGAGATTCAGCTCTGTCAAGCAGCCAGAGAAGGATATAGTGTCATCGCATTGTTGAAAACGCAGAGGGCTCTAGACTGACCAGACAAAGCACATGAAGACCTTGGCTAGTAATGACTAGTGATGGATCAGACCTTCAGTGTGCAACTGGGACTTCAGAGTGAAGGCAGACACACACAGAGTAGTCTGGGAAGGGGAGAGACAAAGCCACTGCCATTGGCCAGGTCCTACCTCTAGCTCATGGTTAATCCACTTCTTTTTTAACCTGTTTCCAATTCCTCTGAGGTTTGCTTGCTGTGGGACTAAGCTTTGACCCAATGATCCCTTTCTGAGAATGACATACATCTTGGTTGGGGAGGAGATAAAGGCATGCCTTTCTTCTTCAACCAAAGCATCAGCAAAAAAATATACCAAGAGGTTCAAATGACTCTGCCCCTCTACTCTGCTCTGACCAGAGACCCCACCTGGAGTACTGCATCAGCTCTGGAGTCCTCAGCATAGGAAAGACGTGGACCTGTTGGAGCAGGTCCAGAGGAGGGCAACGAAAATGATCAGAGGGCTGGAACACCTCTCCTATGAGGAAAGGCTGAGAGCATTGGGCTTGTTTAGCCTGGAGAAGAGAAGGCTCTGGGGAGACATTATTGCAGCCTTTCAATATATAAAGGGGCCTTGCAAGAAAGACAGGGACAGACTTTCAGTAGGGCCTGTAGCAATAGGACAAGGGGTGATGGTTTTAAACTAAAGGAGGGTAGATTCAGACTAGGTATAAGGAAGAAATTCTTCACAATAAGGGTGGTGAAACACTGGAACAGGATGCCCAGAGAGGCTGTGGATGTCCCATCCCTGGAAACATTCAAGGTCAGGTTGGATGGGGCTCTGAGCAACCTGATCTACTTGAAGATGTCCCTGCTCATTGCAGGGGCGTTGGACTAGATCACCCTTAAAGGTCTCTTCCAACCCAAACCATTCTATGACTCTATGAAATACCAGGACAGAGAGTGCCTCAGCACCAGCACGTGGGGCTGCTTGTCTTGTCCTCTCTGCCAGGGCTAGTGCTCCACCTGAGAGCCTGCTGCCATGAAAAGCATTGCCTCAGCGTGGCTTGGGCCACTTGTCCCCATGATCAGGGACACACTGTGCCCCAAGCTCTGGCAACGGGGCAAGTAGATGTTCACCTCAAGGTTGCCTGTGAAGACTGGCTACAAACAGCAGCTTCCCCTTTAGACAAAACTTCCCTTTATTTACAGCCTCCCCCAGAAAACAGAGGGACGGGGAAGAAAGAAAGAGAGGGAGAGATTAAGGGAAAGTAAGAGGAGGAGAATTAACTCCCTGAGATCTTCTGTCTCTACGTTGAGGGTCCCTGGGGAAAGGACCTCTCTTGCTTTCCAGATCTGTCTTGTTATGTACTCATCCATCTTGCCACGTATTCTGGGATCATTTCCAAGGGTCAAATAAATGGCTGTGATTTATGCAATATAGGTCAGGACCTATTTAACAGCTTACAAAGAAGCTCCCCCCCTCCCTGTTCTCCCTCTGGCTCTTGGTGATGAGAAAATAGGTCACAGGCAGGCAGTGGGGGGGATTAATTATTTCTTCCGGCAACTGCTGGGAAAAATATTTTCAGTTCCATTTAATCATAAAGCTTTTTAATTAGTTAGTTTTGCAATTTTTAATGTATAGTTTATAAGCTCTTGTGTAAGGGGGCAGATTCCTGGAAGGAGAAATCTCCTGCTCCCCACCTCCCCCGGGTAGCACAGATGAAGTTCACCAGCCAGGCAGAGCCTGGCAGGTCCTGGGACCAACATCAAGATCGTCTTCAGGTCTCTCAGCAGCCACACAACTCCAGCCCATGGGATGGACACCCTGGCACAGCCCTGGCTTGCAGTCCATCTGCTTGCCTGGGCAGGGAGGAGGTGGAAGGGGCATGTTCCTTAGTGATGAAAGAGCCAGAGCTGCGGGACCCCTTTACATCAGCCTCCCCCGACTCTATAGTGCAGTATGTACCCTCCGTGGGAGTATGGGACAGCTTCTTCCTGGTACAACACTTGGGTTCAGGCTGCTGCACACAGATGCCACACTCACCTTTGATGTAAATGCACTGACGAATAGCATTACACAAAATCTCAAAGACTCTCAGCTAGTGTGGTCCAGCCTGGGACTAGGTGCTATCTACCATCCCCGTTCCCCACTAATGCCCCAGTAGGGGAAAGGGAAAAATTAGACCCTGGACCCTGGCTACCCAGCTCCCCCTGCAATGGGTCCACCTGCCACATGTGCTGGAGAGGCGAAGAGAGGAGCTCCTCCCGAAAGACCAGCATATTTTCCACACTTGGAGTGTCTATGCAAGGTTACTGGAACCACCGCTGGGCTCCAAAGAGCTGACAGGCACTACCACCCACATGGCCAACTGCAGCAAGAGAAGTAATCTACTGATCAATCAACTGCTGCAGTTGGTGTTATGCCCTTACGCAAAGCTTTGCACCATCTCTTCTCCCAGAAACCTGCAGCTGAACCCTGCCAAGGTCTCGCAGTACCTTCTCATAATATTGCAGCTCATAATCCAAGATGACTCCGTTGGGTTGGTCAGGCTGAGACCATGAGAGGGTAATGCTGTCCACGGTGCGGCTGACCTGGTGCATGATGGACACAGCTGAAGGAGCTGGAAGAGAGAGCAAGAGAGAGGCCCCAGTCAGAAGCCTGCATGGGCAGGACCCGCTTTCCCCGGCTGGAGGCAGGCAGGTGTATTACTGCTATTTGGAGCTACTAAATTCGCTTCCAGCAGTGGCAGGGCTGTCCAGGGGTCAGGTGATCCTGGCTTTTGCTATTTGTAGAGAGCATTTAGGGGAGAACAAAATGTTTCCACTGCTCACTAAGAGTTTGTAATTAAAAACCAGGTAGGACAGTGTCTCAGGCAAGAAAACAGATCATTCCCAGGCAAAACGAGCCTAGGGTTGGAGCAAACACAGCCTTCTTCCCCTGTAGAAAGCACTACCAGCCCAGCAACATGCAATCCTCCCTGCTTGCTACGGGGAAACAGGGGGTTTTGTACTTTGACATTTGCATAGAGAAGCTTCACAAGGCATAGGCAGACATAGGAAGCAAGCAGCTCCTCTCTGCCCCGGTGTGCTGGGTCTGCAAGGTGCACATGCCAATCAAGGGAGGTGCATACAGCAGCCTGAGCATGCAACACAAACCTGACCTGACACGCTGACAATGGTGAGTCGCCCGACTCGTCAGAGTGCCCTGGAAATAGCACGCCCACAGACGCCACTTGTCCCACTGAGCACAATGGACCTTCCAGCAGCTCCTCAGACAACCCAGCCAGCTGTCCACCCCTTGCGCTGCCCTGCATTGCCTACGTGGCTTGACACATGGCCAGGTAGGAACAGTGCAGTCTGGGCTGGTGCCATGCCATGGGAAAACTGTCATCCAAGGACCTGTGCTAACAAGTCCATGGGGCAGGGACGACAGCATGGAGCTGCCACGTCCCTGGGAAGCTCTGACGAGCTCTCATCCTGCTTGCTGTGGACCAGGGCAGGTGAGCAAGCAGCCTGGACTGCTTTTAATCCAGTTGGCTCAGGTATTGATAGCACAGATGCCACAGCATTATACCAGCCTTGCTGGAGGGGCTAACGCACACAGATGCCCATGCTGCCTCCACTTCACTGCATCTGAGACCGGTGAGACGAACACGTATCCTTGCCCACCCTGCACCCAGTCTGCTGACGGCACTGCCAACACAGCCTCCATGGACATCAGTCTAGAGGCCATCCCAGACCTCACCCAGAGCCAGCCCAGCCTTGGAGAGTGCTAACTCCAGCACAGCATTACCCCTGGCACACCTGCCAGCAGAGACTCACTGCTTCTGCAGCTTCAGGGCAGAGGTGAAGCCTCAGGGGTAGGAGAGGGCTGCAAAGCAGTAGCAAGAAAGCTTCCCGATCACTTGCATGCCAGGCCTGGTTACAAATGGATGCAGAGAGGTTTGCACTCAGAAGCACTTTTACCAGGTCCAACCCTTTCAATATTTCATGGAAGAACAACTCATTTGACAGCTTTGAGAAACAGCTTGGAGAAGCAGCACACAAAGCAAAGTACCTCTCACCCATCTCCAGTCTGGTTTCCCTTGGCATCACGAGCAGTGGCAGAAACCATGCCAGCTGAGGATTGCAGACACAGCAGTGGTAGGACTGTGCTACTTGGACCAGCATTGCTGCAGCATTTTCTTGCACATCACTGTAAGGAATTAACAGCTGAGCAATTCCTCTCAAAGTATACCAGCAAAAGCCATTTTTCTGGTCCACTCTTCACACACAGGATGTTCAATGCCTGTGTGCCAATGGGAGTAGGGGCTGGGTATGGGTAAAGCAAAATTTGCCACCACACTGCTGCACCATTTCCCTTCACCTCCCTGGGTTTCCCCATTCCTGAAGGAAGGTGCAATGCAGGTTAGCCTCAACAAAGTGTTGGCAATCTCTAATTTTGTGCAGGTCCCTTCTGACACAAACCATTCTATGATTCTAATAGATGCTGAGACCAAAGCCTCACCTCCTCCCAAAGACCAATCCCTCCATCTATTTCTGGTTAAGCCAAGCCCCATTACCAACTAGTCTGAAACTCCCTGTATCATCTTAAACCTTCCCTTGCTTCATGGCATACAGCACTGTTTCGCTCTTGGCTTAATGTCCCAGTCCCACCACTTCAGGGCCCGTATTTACCATGCCTCAGATTAGTTTCTCATGCTGGTGTTAAGATAAAACATAGATAACATTCCTGGACCATGACAGTTCTGCCAGAGCTTGCTGCTTCCTCATCAACACAGATTTTATAGGACATCTGAAATCTCCAAGACAAACATTTCTCACTCTGTAGAGAAAGGCCTTGGAACAAAGATGTGACCAAGCTACAGACTGCCCTGCAGCAGGGATTTGGACTGGACTGAGATGAGTACACAGCCCATGATACACCTGAGTCGCACATGCTCTGGGAACAGATCCCACACTCATACAGGCTGTTCCAGGACTGGGGCTGCATACACCCAGACCTGTCCCACCACAAAACTGGGATGTGGCAACATCCCATGATTTAGACACAGGTTCAATGGCTGGCCTTGCATCTGGGGAAGCTCCTCAGCTTGAAGTCCCTCCGGGTAGGAGTGAGGTCCCTGGGATGGCTCTTCTCCCACTTCCATGCACTGCCTGCCAACCTGGAAGCACATGGCTTCTGCAAGGCAACTCCTGCTTCTCAGGCCATGCTGAGGAAGCTACAAAAGATAACAGCTAGAGCACCACGTGTGTGAACCATTTGTGACCAGCCATGGCCCAGGCAGTTGTGTACTCGGTGAACCTGTCCTCGTCTGGCTCAGAAAAAAGAACCAAATGGATGAGGTGCTGCTTATCTAACGAGCCTCAATGAGGCAAATAGGCTGCATCTTGGGGAGGAGGCAGGTGAGATGAATGATTACAGCCACTTCAGCACTTTTTCTACACCTGGGGCAAAGGAGTGTCTCTGGATAGGCAGAAACTTCCACCATTGCATCTTCTCAGCAACTGTTGTTGTTATCACAGACATCAGGGAAAGGCACAATAATAAAATCCCAGAAACATATAGGTCAGAAAGGACCTCTGAAGGTTTGGTTTGCAGAGTAATTTCAAAATCAGATCACTATCCTCAGGACTGCGTCTAGCTGAGATCTGAATATGTCCAAGGATGAGGATCCCACAGGCTTTCTAAGTCCCAGTCCCCAGTTGCCTCGCTCTTGTGGGGAAGAAGCTTTTCCTCATGTCCTACTGGAACTTCCCTTGTTGTCCCTTGTGCCCGTTACTACTGTCCTCTTACTGTGCACCTCTGCGAAGTGTCTGGCTCTGTCTTCTCTTTAAACTCTCTTTTGAAGTGGGAGACTGTAGCTAGATGCCTCTCAGCCTCCTCCTCTCCAGGCTGGACAAACCCTGCTCTCTCAGCTATCCTCATGTATTGTGCTCCAGCCTCCAGCCCATCCTAGTGATTCTCCTGCTAGACCTGCTCCAGTTTGTTGATGTCTCTGCAGTACTGGGGAGCCCCAAAGTGAACACAGTACCCCAGATGTGGCCTCATGAGTGCTGAGCAGATGGGAACAATCACTCTCCTCAATTTTTTTTGCCTGTGCTCTTGCTAATAGAGCACAGTACTCTGCAATGCTACAAAACATGGTCCTTGTCACACATCTTCACTAGAGGTGAGGGCAACAGCCTGTGCAGAGAGAGGCTCCCAGTTCTGTGAATCAGGGATGGGCTGGGACTGGATGTCTGAGTTTGAAATTAGTTTACTGGAGTCAGCCAGACCTCAGAGTGACTTTCTCAAGTCTAGTCAGAAGGAAAAGCTTCTAGCTGGACAGCGACACAAATGCTCAGGCAGCTGGTATCTGGCAGCTCTCATCCCCTGGAGAAAATGGTTCCTTCACAGTCAGCTGCAAAGCTAGTGAAGACCCATGAGTTTCTGACTCTTTACCACTTCCAAGGCTGGAAGGTCCTGGCTCCAGTTCTCTGCTCTGCCCTGCCCCCAAGTCCACGTGGGGGACCTGGTACAAATCCACATTATCCCTCTGCACTGTCATTTTCTACTTGGAAAATAAGGATAGCTATCCTGTCTGGTTTTCACTCCCTGCCAGTCTTATCTAATTTCACTGAGCAATTTCAGAGGCAGAGTGCTAGGAGCTTGGTACCCCAGCAGTATTTAACACATATAACAGCTAAAAAGGAAGGAGATGAAAGAAGTCAAAGTGCGCACAAAGAGCATCCAATCTGGGATAGTGCTACCTGCTGATACTCTCATCACAAGGTGTGCTCCAGCTCTGACAGAAGCATCAAGCACTTTGGGAGCTGCCTGAATTACGACGTAGAAAGAGCTTTTCTGCCATGGGACATGGTGAAGTGACAAACAGAAAAGGCTGTGAGAGAGAGATACACTTTCTGACACGTGATGAACTCAGCTGAGCAAAGATGGTGAAAGTGTCAAAACATCTAAGCTGACTTTCCTGAACTGTTGTTTCTGAACAAACTACACATAGGTTCCCTCCCTTGGGTTTCTGGGTATTTCAAAGCAAAGATTTAACAAACTGCAAAAAGGACCAAAAAAAAAAGTCTTTGTTCTTCCAGCCTGCTTTGTGCCAAGTTCTTTCCAGGACCGGCCAGTGTACAGGTGGACTGCTAAAGCCAAAGATTCACCGGCAGCATTTATCCTGGCCCTGTGGGATCAGTCACCTTTTTCCACAAACCATGACTCCTCTTTGTTCCCTTGTGACAAAAGAAACAGTGCTTTAGGGACCATTTCCAGGTTAGAAATGGTCGCTAAACTGATGACAATTACCCAATGACACAAATTGCCCAGTGCCAAAGAAACTCCCTCAGCTGTTGGCTTGTCTGCTTGTCCCTTATTCATGGAAGGTGTTTGGATTACTACGCACAGGGAAAATGGATGCTGGAAAAGGGATCTTCCCTGTAACACATAAAGGAGATCAGATTTGGAGCATCCCAGCTTTCAGAGCCACTGTCACTTTGAGATGTCACCCCCACGGATGTGTAAGCAGATTAATCCTGGTGGTGTGTCCAGGTGTATGTGTTCAGCAACAATGCAAAAAATAAACAGAGCTTCAATTTCACAGCGGATGGAAACTTACTTTTCATG